CACTCTGCCCCTATCTCTAGGTCTTCATCCTCCGGCACCCAGGCCTCTTGTTCCCTACCATCTGTGTGTCTTTAGATCACACACGGCCCCAGTCACCAGCCTCCCCTGCATCCTGCTCCGTGCATAGCCCTCTCCTCCACAGATGACCAGGTCAGAGTCTGCCCATCTGATGGCCCCCTCCTCCCCCCCAGACTGTGGAGACACACCCAGCCTACACGGAGGAGGAGCTGAGGCGCTTTGAGGAGGAGCTGGCAGTGCGAGAGGCAGAGCTGAATGCCAAGGCCCAGCGCCTCAGCGAGGAGACCGAGGCTCTGGGGCGGTCCCAGGGTCACCTGGAGGCCCAGAAGAGAGAGCTGCAACAGGTGACCAGCAGGGGAAACTAGGCTCTCTCTGTCCCCGTGGTCCTTGTCCCAGTTAACAGGTGTCAAGAAGTTCTCTATGTCCCCGGTGGTCAACGGGTGTCTAGAAGCTGAGAAGGCCCGATGGCCACCAGGAGAACCACTTGGCTCAGCCACCTTGACTAATGGCAGGGCCACTCTCCCTGACAGCTCTGGCTGCCGTGTTGGTTAAGGGCAGTGGGGGAGGAGGGAAAGAGAAGTGTAGACTGGTCGAGTCTCAGTCTGGGGACTTCTCTGTGTGACGCCCCCACCCCCACCCTACAGGCCGTCTTGCACATGGAGCAGAGGAAGCAGCAGCAGGCAGCCCACAATGCCCCTGGCCCAGAGGGGCAGCTCAATTTCCACCCTGACACAGGTGCTGACTCCAAGGGTGGGTAGCAGGGATGGGGCTCCCGGGTCTGTGGAAGGAGGGCTGGGGGGCTGGATTCCTCTGTCTGAGGGCTGGGGGGCTGGATTCCTGGGTCTGAGGGCAGAGGGGACTGGGGGGCTGGACTCCTGGGTCTGAGGGAGGAGGGGCTGGGGTTCCCAGGTCTGAGGGAGGAGGGGGCTGGGGGACTGGACTCCTGGGTCTGAGGGAGGATGGACTTGGAGCTGGGATTCCCAGGCCTGAAGGAGGAGGGTCAGAGGCCTGGTCTCCTGGGGCTGGGGGACATGTACCCTTGAGTCCAGGGAAGACAGGGCCACATTTGTAGATGCCACCACCTATCTCTTCTCCAGGTGACGCACCTGTCCCAGCGCCAGCCGATGACCACAAAGGGGTGGATGCTTCAGAAAAGAAAGTTCCTGAACCGCCCCAGTTGGACACCCAGAACTTGTGATCCGTGGGGGCCCAGCCGTCTGAGTGTGGGGAGACTCCCACAGCAAACCTCCCCTGGGGGCCAGCGATATGTGTAGCCTCTGGGGGAGGTGAGGACAGACGGAGTGGCCTTGCTGCATGGGCCATCTCTGCTACATCAGCGCCCTTCCTTAGTTCCCAAGTTCATTGAGGGGACAGACCCTAACAGCCCCAGCCGCCTTTATCCACGGTCTGGCCTCAGCCACCCCAGCCTGTGGCTGCTCGAGCGACCTGCCTGTGGCCCAGGGCTCAGCCTCAGCCAGGGGGTGTGAGCTTCTATCGTCTCCCGAGACATTTCCTCCCTCAGGGGCCTCCTGTCCTGCAGTCCCCGGGGATCTCCACCCAGAGCTGCTGCTGCGCCTCCCCAGGTGCTCCTGGAGCTGCCCCGCTTCAGCCTCAAGTGGAGGTCCTCCAGGGACCGGGCCATGCCCACCTCTCTGGCTTCACCCGAAGCTGCTCTCCCCCTTGCCTTTCTCCAGTTCTGTCTAAATACACCTTCTGGAACACTGGGAAGAAAGTGGAGGCTCTGTGCGTTTGTGTCCAGTGCTCACTCAAGACACCCCCACACACACACACCTTGTAAAGCAGATTTGGGGGCGAAAGAAAGAAGGCAAAGGTAGAAAATCATTTCAGAGGTTTATTTCGGAGCTCCTGGGTGAGGTTCCTGGGTCCCTCATTGGGGCCAGAGAAGTCTTGCCTCCTGGGAGGGAGGTGAGGGGTTTCATAGG